AAAAAGGAAAAAAAAAAATCTCTAAAAAAAAGGAAAAACATATCAGTGTAAATAGCGAAAATATGTCTATTATCATCTACAACTTTTCTGCTACCCCCTGGTGGCAAATAACTGTGACTGCATCTTTAAATGTTTATATTAATTTATGAACGTCAAAGAAATGTTTTTTTTTTTTTTTTTACATGTGAGTAAATGATGGACGTATTCAAACAAACTTCTGGATTTCTGCTGAAAATAAACACAAGACTTATTGTTCCCTCCCCCCACCACATTTCCAGTCATGATATTGATATAATGTTTCTGTTATGATAAATCCCCCATCCCTAATTTCAAAAGCACTACAGTGGATTGCACCACACAGTATTCTCGGGTGACTCAGGTGCAAACTGAAATGAGTTTCATTTTGCACGTAGCACCAGTGAAATGCTCTGTGCTGTCACATCCTGCTCAGTGTGTAGCTGTTGGCTTGTCTTTGTAGCACAGCAGCCAGAATGATATCAGAAAACAAACACTTCCAGGCTGATTGTTCTCTGTGTGTTCCTTATGCTAACCTTTTCATTGGCAGCAGTACAAAACAACATTCTTTGTACTGCTAAATGGCATGTTTACACTTGAAGGTATTTTTCTGTTTGCTCCAGTTCTGGCCGACTTGAGGCGTGCTGAAAAAATCCCCACGGACCACACGCACATTTTTTTTTTTTTCTGTAAATATAACCGAAACTTATCATGCATCATGCATATCATCAAATGGACCTCTCATTGTTCGGAGGAGCACAGGTGCTGCTTCTCTGTTGTGTCACAGTTCATGCTAACACGGTAGCCTTGGCCCGGGACTGATTTAAAAGCTTGAGGTTGTTGAGGTCACACAGAGGTCACCAGAGATGGAGGTAAACACTCGCACATATCTCGTCAAATGAATCTCAGCTGTGCAGCGGTGTGACAGAAAGGCTCTTTGTGACGGGAACAGAACGATGAAGGAGGGAAAGATGCACGGTTAGTGACGGAGTTAAGATGGAAAAGATGTCTGAACTAAACACTCGCTGTCTTCTTTTTTTCTGTAAACTGTCAATTTTGTTAAATTACAACTTATTTAAATTTGTATTTAAATGACTTAAACTTACATTTTAGTCATCAGAGAGAGACTATATTATTTAGTTCTCTATTAGCTTCATGCTAGTCTCCCAACAGTCTTTATTGTATTACTAATTAGTATACATTTGTATACTAATTTTGTTGTCTGTAATAACGTTTTGACCTTTAATAATGTTCAAAGGTATCTTTTGATATTTTTAGCTTTAGCTGTTGATCATGAGACAAAATAAAATTGTTGTTACATTTGTTTGTTTTTTATTAGAGCCGGACCGATGTGGGATTTTTGGGGCCAATATCGACACTGGGGATAAATCGGCCGATATTAGTTCTCTCTGCCCCGTTAGTGGCAGGTGACTATGTTACAGTTTGAGCACATCATTTGATTGGCATTATGGGCAAACTTATAAAACTGTTGAACTGAGCAGTAACACACATCCCTGGTTGCAAATGCTTTTGCACAAGCATGGACCATTCCCTTGCTTTTTGGGTAGCTCCCTTAATATTGAAAGATGTTTAGAGCTCATACTTAAAAATCTTGTAATTTTGATTTGCATATTGGACTTAGCATCGGGGCAAAAAACTGTGTTTTGCTACATCACCTGAAAGCCTTCTAATCCTGCTGGGCTGCACAGCTGGTTTGCCAAGATAAGCGATGACTAGTGATAAATAACTGTAAGCAACTGCTGCAGTGCATGTCAGCAGATCTTTTTGCACACACCACTTCTACTTTTAATGGAGCAAAGGTAAAACATGTTTTTAAAGGGGACATACAGTATTATGAAAAATATACTTTTTGTTTTCTATTTTTGAACATATATTTGGGTAACCTGAGTGTCTACCAACACAACAAAATTGTGAAATAAATCCATCCAGTCCTTTGTTTGTGGTCTGCACAAGTCTTACAACACAGAGAAAAATGCTCCGTTTCCAATGTGCTCCCCTTGTGACATCACAGTGAGATTCTGGTAAAAAAAAAAAAAATACCCTCCCCTCCCCTGGTATCGCCAACCATGGACTCCAACCCCAGCCTAGAACAAAACTTTTGCGCAGGTCCGCCATTTTTATTCTCGCCAGCGAAGGAGTGATTACTACCAGGAAAACATTTAAAGAGACACACACACCAAAACGGAGCGTTCTGAGAGAGCTGATTTATACAGGGCCACAAACCTCACACACAGCACAGATGTTTCATTTAGACCACAGGTCTGTTTGAAAAGGGGGATAATATTTCCTCTTTAAGTGAAAGCAGCTGAACAAGAAGGTATTTTTTTAACATCAGTGTAAGACCTTTTCTGGAATGCTTTCAATAACTCTGGGATTTCACAGTGACACAGTAACTGTTGTTAAATGTGCGTCAGTGAGCTCGGGTGGAACAAATATCTGGCTCACCCCAGCATGACAAAGGCAAGGGCCGGAGGATCATTATGTAAGGTGGTTAATTTAGGGCCATTGAGGGATCTTAAACGGCCAACTATGATGCAGATAGCATATTGAGGGAGCATTTTTCCAAATCCCAATACTGCAAAAACGTCTATCTATCATCTGAGGAAAATAATTTTCTGCCTCGAGTACTTGGAAAGAATGTTTTAAGTGTAGCATTTAGACAAATTTCCTGCAAAATTCTTATAATTCAAGCAATTTGGAGGTATTGTAATATTAAGGATTAAATGTCAAGGTGGCAATAATCATCACAGAGGACCACAGACTCATCACAAATGCACATTGTTGTCCTTTTCCATTCTTTCTGCAGCTGGGAAGCTCATTCAGGAAACTCTGTGGTCATCCAAAGGCAACATAAACAAAAGTGTAGTGTATGAGTGTCACTCGGGGAAAGTATGAGCTGACTTACATAAGCACAGAGATGAAGAGTGATGGTCTGGTTCTCAGCAGCTCTGCTCTGGATCTGGAATACAGTGCAGCACAGTGTCTGCTGGGATTATGTGTGTCATGTTTATTTCCCCCCTCTCTTCCTGTATTAAAGAGCTCGTATTGTATTCCAGCGTGGAAAGGAGATTTATGCCAGGTCAAGTTGAAGTGGAAGAACTGGTGACATTGAAGCCGGAGGGGACTGGAAGTTGAGAAAAAAGAAGAATTCTAAAACGTTATGTGGATTCATCCTTTCTTATTTTACAAATGAATATCATAGAAAATGTATCATACAAATGTTGTTATCAAACCTGTTCATCCATGTTTAATGGGCCGACTGTTAGCAAAAGCGCTAAATGAAGTAGTAAAAAAAATGTGCCCTATAAATATAGGCTATACATAAATTAATCCCTGAGGGGAATTCTGGTTTACACTCTGTTATTTTAGAGACATGCTTCTCACACACATAGGCCCGAATCACACACATGCACAAACAGGACCTGTGGACGTGCATTAGTGGAGAAATGTCAGGGTCGGGCTGCTACACACTGCTATGCAGGGAGCGCACCAGGTCAATTATTCTGTCAACAATGTTACAGCAAGGGAGGCCGTCTACAAGGGGCCTGATTAGCATCCCTGCTTCATTGTTTTGAAGTCATTTGATCAAATTGCACTTTGTTATGGATCTTCATGTTCACTACAAATGAAATAAAGAAAGAAAGACAGGGTTGGCATTATTAAATAACTTGGGTAACTTACAGAATTGATCAAAGTCAAACTCTCAATTGAACCTGTTGTTATGTAAGGTTGAAGTGTACTGACATTCTGATCCAACTGTTTTTCACCACAAAATTTACACAAATTGAAACCATTGTTTTTCTATAGCAGGTTCACTTTTCTGGGAATATAACTAAAGGTTTTATATTTTTTTTTTTCACACTTAAATATAATAGAAATCAAGTATATCCTCTGAAAATAACTCTGTGAGTCATGACTGTCTACAATGGGTGTAACACCCGAGTCCCACTGTCTGTGATGTTTTCAGAGTTTTCAGAGTCCTATCTTCACTTTGTTTACATCGTCGGGACGGCCGGCTGACTCCTCCCCTCGTGTATAAAAGTTGTTTAATTGAGGGACTAGAGAAAAGAAGAATAGCATACTGTACTCACTGCTTAACTGTGTTTCTAGATCACGCTCATTTCAGGTAAATTTATTTCGAGTGAAATATTTTGGGGTGAAGATCAAATTGGCTGCATCAAATATCCCTTATCGAATGAAACCAGTTATTGTCTCATAACAGGAGGGCTAATGTTCCAGTAAATGCTCAATGAATTCAAGTGTATGTATTTTCCTGTGATTGTTTACATTCAGGTGATAAAATCAGCCTACATTTGTGATGTCTTTTTTGTTTCTTTCACCTTCAAAATACTCACTGGTGAGAAAAAAACAAGCTGACAGGGGCATGTGAGGAACAAAACAGCCATCTCTTTGACAAACTAACTGTCCTGCCTGATTCTAAACAGTCCTCTGGGACACAAGTGGACCTGAACCCCTCTTGGTGACCCCCTAAAGGCCACTCAGATTTCAGGTTTGAACCACTGAAGTTCCCATTGGGGGGAAGGTTTCATTGTTAAACTGCTTGAATTCTGAAAGGTTCCCACCCTTTCACCCTTTTTTGACCGCTTTTTTGAACTCCAGGTGTGTTGTGTTTACCTGCTGGCTGCTGCCCAGGCGGGAAGCTCGAGCGCTCGGCTCAGTTCCACTTGCTGAACAAGGGCGGACTGTACCACTGTGGAGCCTCGGCGGAGGGGGAGCCAGAAAGAGAAACAAACCATTGTCTCCTGATACAGCGTCAGCAGCTCGATTGTCGATTCCTGAGCAAGTGAGAAAGCGTATTAAACACAATAATAAACGTATTTGGGTTTTAAACTCACGATTTTACTTGTGTTTATTACACATTTAAAGGCTAATTACTATGTGCCACCCCTAAAAAACTCCACCGCTCCGTCTCGTCTTTTGATTGACCGCTCCATATTTTTTTCCCTCTGTGCTGAATTTTCCTCCTGCTGGAGAAAGGAGAAAAAAAAACAACACTGACTGGGGGGAAAACTGAGAGGAAGAAAGCACAGCGTTAAAAATAAAAGGAGGTGGAGGAAAAAAAGTGAAATAACAGGAGAAAATCGGGAAGATTGGAGGAACAGGTTTTGGAAAAGAGAGCAAAGAAGACGTCGCGCAAGTGGAGAACGAGACTTGCAATATATATTTAGAAGCTTTTTTTGTGATTTTTTTTTTTGGAGGAATAAAAAGGTGAGTTCACCCGTTTTTTTATTATTTTATTTTTAAAGCATTACTACAAAGCTGTGGTAGCATTTTTTTTTTTTTTGCATGTGTTTTCGGTCTTTATGTCCTCCTGGAGAAAGTCAGGGAGTAGCCTGTGCAGATTTGTCATTGTTCATTCAACAGTCGTGCAAGAAGGGCAGTAAAAACAAGAGAATTTTTTTGTCTTTTTTTTCTTTTTTTCTTGAGGGAATTCTGAATGATAAAATGTGCAGGGATGCAGCATGGCCCCTTTTGCATTAAGCAAAACCGATGTCAAAGTAATCAGTGCCCCCCTTTGGTGTTTTCCTCCTTGTTTCAATTCAGAAACATGCTGCTCTGCCCATGTCAAAAAAAAAAAACAATTAAAAAAAATTAAAATGTGCAAGTGCAAGAAATTCGTTTTCAAACTCAGCTTGCAAGCACACTAAAATATTCCCTATTTGAATATGTTTTTTTTTTTTTTTTTGCATGCATGTGACCTGGATAAGTGTCTGGTATAGAGAGAGAGGGTGCGTGTTATTGACGCGCACATGTGGCATAGCCAGCGGGTCTTTGTTTCTCCCCCCCTCCCTCCCCCTCTGCTAAATAGCCGACCCAGGCATGACAGCTCACGGCCGACCGAATACAGGCCTATATATTGACATCTTGTGCCGCATGAACTTGAATCATACGTGAACCTGAACGCCCCTTCCCCTACATCACTGTTTTTGTATTTCAGCCAACCCGGTGCCTCGCTGCTCTTCCTTTGTGGTGTTTTAAAAAAAAAAAAAGGGGGGGGGGGTCCCTGCAGAGACGCAGCAATTTCATGGTTAAATAGAACACTTTTTTTTTTTTTTTTTTTACAACATAATATAAATGTGTTTTTTTTTCTAAGAGGGAGGCAGTGAGTTAGGGGTTGCACGGGAGGGGGGGGGGGGGGGGGGGGGGGAGTCAAGAGGGATGTTTTGACTGTTGAAGCGCCAGACGAGGGGGGGGGGGGTATAATGTGTGTCAATGTCAAATGGAGGTGTGTGTCCCTGTGTGTGCGTTCAGTAGCCTCGCGCTGGCTTGGATAGAACGTGAGAGGACATTAAAAAAAAAGACCCAGCATGCCCTGAAAATCTCTGTTTCATAAGAGTCTCCCATATGGAATATAGGAAAAATGTTATGGTTCTGTGTGTCGTGCCAGACCAAGGACACACACACACACACACACACACACACACACACTCACAAAATCTCGCACATCTTCCCTCTGTCTACACATTGCTCAACACAGACAGGTTTTCACTATGCTGCGCGCACGCACGCTCTCCAACACGCTCGCGCGCAGATCCTCTGTGAGTCATACCGCATTGTTTGGATGTACCAATGCAAGGCGCACGAGGAGGCGCGCGCTTCACAGGCTCTCCACGAGCTGAAATGATAGTGTGTTGAGGCACAGAAATGCAGCCGCGCACACGGACACTAACACAAAGTGCAGCGTTGGTCTTTGTTGGATTGGGTGTGGTGTCAGGAATCCTGTTTTTATACTTTTGTGGCGTTTTAAAATGTATTTTTGGTTTCACACCAGAATGAGGGCCACCCGTTGTAAATTTAAATCCTCAAAAATGCAGTTATTTATTTGAATATGTAAGGGTCAGTTCACCCAAATTTTAGTTTTGGATTTACATGCCAAGCTTTCTATGTATGTCTGCAAGGTTTTTGCCTTTATCTGCATCTGTGGGCAGGTTTTTGGGACTATTTCTTTGGAGAAAGTAGTTCCTAAAGACTATATAAATAACATTTTTCATCAGTTTCAAAAATATCTGGTAATGGGATGTGTCAGATATAATATACGATATGTAATTGAAGGATAGGGAGGAATAGAATATATAATATGATACACAGTGTACTTACCCACTGTACCTATAGCAGGTGGCAACGGGGATGGATTCTGCTCAAGATGCTTCTCAGATTGTCCAGCATGCTGCTGAGAGGGTGTGTCCATTATTTTCAACAGTTCAGCCAGTATTCTGGCCTTGACCATCTTTTCCAGTCTGTAAAGCTGCATGACCACGACAGACTCTGCTTTATTCATCGGTCTGTTGCCATCTTTTGCTGTGGGGCTCGCTCCCTGACCCCAGCACACAACAGCAAAGAAGAATGTGCAACAACAGGCTGGTAGATCTCCACATAAGTCCCATCTATGCCGATCCCGGGAAGGAGAGGTCTTAGTTCTTCTTAGGTCCAACACCATCTCCTTTGTCTTTTAAGCTGCAGGTCATTCATTGCAGGGTAACTATCCCTATTCATGAGCACAAAGATAGATTTTTAAATTCTTTGATGCAAACTGGTGACAAACCAGTGAAATGGACCATGATCAACATGTGTAAAACAATTCTTGCTAACCAAAGCATTGGGCGCCTAAAGTGAAAAGCAAAGATTTAAGATGAGATGGAGCTTTATTAATCCCTGAGGAAATTCTTGATCAAGTACATTTTAACCAAGTCTTTAAACCCTAACTCTTATTAAGAGTTGTTTTGATAACCATTCCACATGTTTACTCAAAAGATAAAATGCCTGTGTAAAGTACAGTGCTGTTAGTTGAATAGTAAAGCACCACCAGGACCATTGCCAACATTTTAGGGCTGCTGAAACATTACCAAATAAATACTTAAACACTCTAAATTAGGGCTTTTTATTATAATCGTTAAGTGCATATTTATGTGTTAGGGCGCACCAATGATCCGAACACTGACTGCAGGATATAACTGCTCCACTTGACACCGTAGTTCTCCTTTCACTCGAACACTGTAGATGTTTTCTCTTGTCTCTTGTCTCCATGTTCCCTGAGCTTATCATGGTGGTGGGAGGACATGCCTCTGGACTTCAAAGGCTCTCCCTCCACTCTGTTCCAGCATGAGATATTACAAATCACGGGGTACTTGTGGAGGTCTGGAGAACACATCGTTCTGCTGTGCGTTTTTTTATTTTATTTTGACTTGATACGGTGTCGAGCTGCAGAGCCGAGCCTGTGCCACACTGACTTACCAGAAGAGTGCATGTGGCCTTAGTGAGGGTCTCAGTATAGAGAACATATCAAAAAACCAAAGACTTGATGAAGAAAAAACATGCTAATGTTATACTTCTAATAATAATAAAAGCTTGGATTTATATAGCACCTTTCAAGAAACCCCAAGGACGCTTGTAACCCTGTGCTGAAATCCACTTTTCAGGTCATTCTTTAAGGGAATAAAGACTAAAATGAATGACTTTTAATCACCATTTTGATTCCAAATACAGATCTCCCCACCATATTTATGTTTTATTTTTAAATTCCAAGTCTGGAAATTGATCTAGTAGCTGGAGGTGCCAGTTCACTACACTTCCTGCCCCTTGAGCAAGGCACTGAACCCGCATCGGCTCAGGAGCTCTTCCTGTGGACAGCCCCCCCTCTCTCTAACACCCCTCCATTAGTGCATGTCTATTGGATCCCATTCATGCATGTGTGTGTATTTCAGCCTATTTGTGTGTAGCATGTTCAACAATGGACGGAGTGTAAAAAGTAATTTCCCCTTAATGCGATTAATAAAGTTAATCAAACTGTTGAAATACCAAGCAATAAAATAATCTATAATGTAACATGAATAAATAGTATTTAACAAACTATCATTTAACTTTGTGTATTTTCACTAAATCAGCTACTTCCCCATCACTTAGCTTTGAACTGTAACGTTTGGCAAATGAGCCAAAACGTTTCCATCAATGTTGAAACACTGGATGAGGTCTTCTATATAACGTCATAACCATCAAACATTCAGAAGGTCAAGGTTTAATCAGGGTGCTGGGACTTTGAATGATCTGGGCTTTGATGTACTGTTGTTGCTTTTTGGGTTATTCTGGAGTCGTGTGATTTTTTTTCTGGCAGGGCCAAAAATAAACTCTTCAGACTGAACAGTCGCCCTTCGGCCTGATGCTACATCCCCGAGTGTTTGTGTTCTGGCCAGACTAATAATCCGAGAGATCAACTTGTTGACATCATTAAACCGTGGCGGATGAGAGCATTTCTCTCCTGAGGCATCTGCTTGAAGCTTGCAGACATCTCTGAACCAAGCGAAAAACACAAAAATATCTTTAAAATTTGAAATAACATTCAAAGTTTTTCATTCACAACTTCCGTTTCACTTATTCCGACTACAGCGGAAGTTTGTCCTTGCTTAAACTGCAGATGGGGATGACCTTGTTTGTAAACCAACGCAGTCATTTTAAATTGTCTCTGCACCATTGACCTGGTTGCCATGGTTGCTATTGACCAATGTGGCCTCATTACGGGCTCGTTGTACCATCATTGGACATCCCTTGTGCTCATTTGGATTATCAGTGACAGTTTGACCTTTTGCTCTCCAGGCAGAATCAAATGTATCCAAAGGGTTGCTAGGGTTTTAAAACACAGGGAACAGCTTTTGATGCTACATTTGATGATGTTTTTGATGCTGATGCTAACATCAAAAACCAATGTATACTACTAAATAACACTAGTCTTTGAAGTGTGGAAAGAAGTGATTTAACCATTTTCCTCTGTCAAATTAAAGTATATTACATACAGTATAAGAAAGACATATTCCTGATTGATTTTATGCAGACAGTTTCTCTCTACAGACTTATTTACTCTTGTTTGACCATCAAAGTATTGCAGGAAACTTACGCTAAAACTAGAAAATGTTAGCTTGTTGTGTGTAGGTGACACCAACTGTTTGCTTTTCCTTTTCTTGGCTAACTGATGTCAGAGACTTGCAGCTACAGCCTACTTTGGTCTTGTTTGAATGTTAGCTTAAGGCGTTAAAGTTAGCCACAATTAGCCAACATATGCTAGTTATTTAAGTCAATGAAAAGATTCATAAACTGTTTTTTTTTTGTTTGCTTATTTTATTAACCTATAAGATTCTGCTGGCACTGCTTCACTTGTTCTGGTATAACCATGAGCGTATAGTCAGGGAGAAGTTGGCTAACGTTAGCATAAGTAGGCT